ATAAATTATTTCTTTCATTACAATAATTCGTTGTGGTGTGAAATATTCTGGACATTGTTTTCTAGAAAATGTGTTTGATATTCCTTTATATGAAAATGAATATTGATTACAACATGAATATGTTTTATTATTTTCTTTAAAAACAACAATATCATAATACCCAAACATAAACAAATAATCATCTGATTGATTATTTAATTTAAATGCATATTGTGAATCTTTAATATCAAATTTCTTCATTCCTTTTATTCTTCTTTTTGATTCTATTGAAAATAAAAATGATTTTGAATCTTTTATATAATCATTAACTTTATCAATTTTCACATTAACATATCCTCCAAATTTATTTCCATCTTCATCTTCAATAATAATTATTATATGTTCTTTATTCTTTATTCTTTGATCAAATACTGATGTATTCTTATCCCAATCATCATTATTTGAATCAAATATTATATTGGATAGTCTTCTTTCTGTCCATTCTTCTATTTGTTGTATTTTTTCTTGGATCCTTTTTTCTTGTTTTTTTCTTATTCTTATTCTTTTCTTTTCTTCTCGTTTCTTTTTCTTTTCTTCTTCTTTTATCTTCTTCCTTTCAAAATAATCACTATATTGTGTTTTCCATTCTTTTTTCTTTTTGTTAAATTCTTCTGTGATTTTATCTTTTTCTTTCGGTGTTCTGAATATTTTATCTTTCATGTTCATTTCTTCAATTGAAATGATTTTATCTATTATTTCATTCCATGTTTTACTTAGTATTTCTTCATCTGAATTACATTCTTCTATTATTTTGTTTATTTTATTCTTTATTATTTCTATTGTTTTAATTGTTTCTTGACTTTTTTCTATTACTAATTTTCTTATTCTTTCTGTTTCATCAATCCTATCAATTATTCCTTCTCCCATTTTAATAGCTTCTGAATATGTTTCATCTGGTTTTATTTCAAATATTTCATTTTTAATACTTCCTAAATAATATTGATAATGTTTATTAATATCAACAATTGATTGTTGAATATTTGGAAGTGTTTCTATTTCTTCTTTAAAGAATAGAGTATTCTTGTTTATTAACTCTTCCATTTTAATTTAATGAATATCAGATTAAAATCAGATGATTAAATACTTAAATACACGTTTATAACACTTCATTTTATTTATTATTTTATTATTTTTATTTCTTTTTTTATTGTATAAATAACAATAATAAATAATAAAACTAATAATAAAATAATAATATTTAATATTATTGTTATTTATCTATAATTAGTTTATTTTTTATGTTCATTTATTAATTTCTTATTTAACAAAATAATTGCAAAACAATACAACACATCAATTAAATTTATATTTGTTTGATTTGTTATGTTTTCTTCTCTTCTTGATTGATTATCATTTCTTGTTTTTGATATTTAGTGTTTTGTTCTTTTATTTCTAATATTATATTTTTCATAGTTGTAGTTTTGATCATTTATATTGTCCCAGATGATGATGTTCTCAATATTGGTTGTGTATTTATCATTAATGTCATTGTTTTCTTCTTCTCTATTTCTGAAATAAAAAATAAACAATAAATTGATGATGATTTGATATTAATTGATTTTGTTCTTCATTTTCTCTTTGTGTATTGTCTAATTCTTCTTTTGTTTTTTCTTCAGTCTCATAGTTTTCAATTCCACTTTTTTGATACAGTGATTTGTTTTTATTTATCTCTTATGTTCTTCTTTAACAACTCAACATTCTTCTTCATCTCATATTTATTCAACTTCTCATAATTAACTCGAAGAGTGTTGATGATTTTATCTTTATTTCATATTTCTGTGTTATTTCTATTTTATATTTAATTTATTTTTCATTGTAATGAAATATTTTATTATTTTAATTTAGAGTTTTCTTATTTCATTATATGTATTTTTAATATTGTTTATTTGTGTTTGAATCTTTTTTATTTCTTCTTCAAACTCTTTCCTAATTGTGTCTCGTGTTTTTTTTTGAATCATTTCATTTGAGATGATGTTCTTCTTCTTTCATTTTTGTTTGAAGTTCTTTGATATTTTCTTCTATTTCTTTGATTTTATTTTGAAGTGTGTTAATTTCTTATTTGTTATATTCTTCTTCTTTATCTTGTGTTTTTATTTATGTTATTTTTAATTTATTATTATTGTACTTTTATTTCATTTCTTTGATTGATTTTTGTTTTTGATTTCTTCTTCGATTCTTTTAATATCTTCATCTTTTGTTTTATTTTTGAATTCTTCTTTGTTTTTATTTATTATTTTATTATGTATTATTGAATATAATTCTTGGAGAATATTATACCATTTCTTTATCTTCATACTTTTTAAGCAATTCTGATTATTCTCCTTTCTCCCATTTTCTTGTTATTCTTTAAATTTTCTTTTGAATTTCATTTGTTGTTAATAATTTAGATTTCTTATTTGTATAATGTTTATTATCATTATATTTACATTGTTTCTTATTTGTTTTTCTTTGTATTCTTCTTTTTCTATTCATTTTTCTCTTGTTATTTCTTTTACTATTATTATTATTCATTTTATTGTTATTTCATTCTTTCTTTTCTTTGAACATGAATATCTGTGTCTTGTTTGATTTTCTTTACAACACTCTATTACATTATTCAATAAGCATGACAACAAAATATAATGTATATTCTGAATTTATAAAAGGATCTATTTGATATTTATTAATAAAAATAAAAAAACAATACATATTAATTAAATTACGAGATAATAAAAGATGAATTAAAAATGAAAGAAAATACATATTATAATCATTTATGAAAATATGAATATGAATGAATTTATTTGTTATTATAAATCCTTTCAATAAATAATTATTTCAACTCAATTCAATGAATAAAGATATAAAAATTATATTAATGTTAGTATATATTCAATAATGACCAAAAAATATTTAATAATTTTATTTTATTAATAATTTTCATTTGAATGTAAAAATAATATGTGATAATAACAATAATAGTTAATGAATAAATGATAACAAGTGTTTAATAAAGGATGAATTAATATATAAATAAAATATAATATTTTGGTAAAATTATAATATTTTGAGTAATAAAATAGTGTTATGAGAATTATTATTATTAGAATCAATAATCAAGTTATTTGAATTAATTATAAACAATATTACAATAAATACTTTGATAAAAAATTGATAAATTCATTTAGTTGAAATACACAGTGAAAATGGATAGAGAAAGTTATATTGTTTTACTAAAACATTTATAGAAAATATAATTTAAATATCATCTTATTCATAATATTTTATTATTTGTTTGTTAGAATTTCATTAAATTTCAATGAATGTGATGTAATAATAAATTGATAATTGAAAATACATAATATTGTTATTTAACATTAAATACTATTAATCACTAAATATTACTTTTATTATGTTAATTATATATCATTATTACTTTCTAAAA